TCTGAAATGGATCCAAAGTTAGAGTCAATGACTTCACATCCTCCTTCACAGAAAACCACACATCCCAATCAAAAAGCATCTAGATTATCAGAGTGGATACAGTACGCATAAACTTTCCCCACAGGATAAAAATTCATACATATGGGGTGCCTGGCTAGCTCAGTCACAAGAGCATGCGACTCTTGACCTTGGGGTCGTGAGTCTCAGTCCAACGTTGGGTGCAGAGATTACTTAAATGAGTATTTTTTTTAAATTACACATAATAAATTAGTCAAATCTGAACAGAAAAAAATCAAAGCCATTCAATGTTTCTATCATTATATATAACCTTAAAGGTAAAAACAACTACATTTTGGGGTGCCTGGGTGGTTCAGTCAGTTAAATGTCCAACTTTGATTCAGGTCATGATCTCATGGTTCGTGGGTCCGAGCCTGGCATCAGGCTCTGTACTGAATGCCTGCTCAGAGCCTGGAGCCTGCTTTAAGATTCTGTGTCTCCTTCTGTCTCTGCCCCTCCCATGCTCACATTCTGTCTCACTCTGTCTCTCAAAAATAAATAAATCTAATAAAAAATTAAAAAAACAACAACTACATCTTGTTAATGTACATAACCAGGAAAATCACAAAATACCTTCTCTGGTTCTGCCTACGGCAATACCTGTCCCAGTGTGTCTGGGCAAAATGGGTAATTATAATCTAGGTCAGAGGTTCTCAGTTGGGGCAATTTTTTTTCCCAGAGGACATTTGGCAACGTCTGGAGACATTTTTGGTTGTCTGGGGGATGGCTGGGTGAGATATTACTGGCATCTAGTGGGGACAGACCAGGGATGCTACTAAGTATCCTATAATGCACAGTAGAGCCCCACAAAACAAAGAATTACTCAACCAAAATGTCAATAGTGCAGAGGTCAAGAAACCATGGTCTGGGTGTTCTATATATTGGCTCGAGGCCTATGTTCTGGGTCTTTTAAGGGCTCCACGCAGACAGGTTCTGGCTACTAATATAGGAGCTAAAAGAAAACAACATCTATTCTCCTTTACCTCTTCACCTTTCCCTCAGCCTCTGTGTTTCTGGTAATAAAGCCTAATAAACCATTACATTTAGTGCCTGCTTTTTATTGATCATTGAAATAAGGATCACACACATAAGAGATGGACAAAGATGGAAAATCAACTTAAAAGCAAGGAAGAAAGGCAAGGAGGAAGAAAGGAAGGAAGAAAGAGAGGGAGGGGTTTGGTTGTCATTTCCACAGCTAAATGAAACTAAATCAACCAATCTAAAGAGCAGACAATGATCTGTTCTGTTGTGAGTCTGATCATGTCTGGAAACTGCTTCTTCCCACCTCAGAAACAAATAGCATGTAGAAAGTAAGTCATTCGTTTATATAACTGAGGACACCTAGTGGTTTCCAGTGTGTCACAGCTAAGTAGGCCCTAAGATTGCCTTCAATATAAATTCTGAATTTAGATATATAGTCCCTTTTTTTAAAATTTTTTTAATGTTTATTTATTTTCGACAGAGAGAGAGAGAGACAGAGCATGAGTGGGGGAGGGGCAGAGAGAGAAGGAGACACAGAATCCAAAGCAGGCTCCAGGCTCTGAGCTGTCAGCACAGAGCCCGATGCGGGGCTCAAACTCACAGACTGCAAGATCATGACCTGAGCCAAAGTCAGACGCTCAACCGACTGAGCCACCCAGGCGCCCCTATATTCCCTATTTATAAAAGGGACATCCCTAGTGTAGACAACTTAAAAGATACTTTCAGGTTCTTTAATATTCAATTCAATTCAACAAGCATTTATTGTGCTCCTACTACCTATACTAGTCTTTAAGCTATGATGTTGGGGAGCATGTAGCAACTTCAGTCTAGGAAGAAAAATCTTAGCTTCTGCCTTCTAAAAGCAAGGTACTCGGGGGCACCTGAGTGGCTCAGTTAGTTAAGTGTCTGACTATGGCTCAGGTCATGATCTCACAGTTCATGTGTTTGAGCCCTGCCACTGGGCTCAGTGCTGTCAGCACAGAGTTCACCTTGGATCCTCTGTGCTCCACACTCCCTCTCCCTCTCAAAAAAAAAAAAAAAGAAAAAAGAAAAAAAAGGCAGAGTATTCACAAGTTCCCCAAGAACGGTTTCTTTTATGTCAACTCTAAAGAGGTGAGTACAGCACGTGAGAAGTATATGTCAAAATTTTACATGGTTGATGAACCCAAAGAGAACACTAAGCATTAGCAAGAGACTAAGAACTCTATTTTTCCAATCTAGATGGGAAATAGCATAAGATCTGTTGTGTTTTAGAAGAAAAAAAAAAATCTATTTGTTTATTTGACCAATGCCTCCATATTTGTTTTTACTCGGCTTGATTACTGAGACCAGTCCAACTGGTGCACTCACTGACACTCACTTCAGAACTTCTATGGCCAACACAGACAGGTGCAAGAATGTCAAGCATGTTTTTAGACTGCCAGCTCTAAGTCAACATCAGTGTCTCAATTCCCAGTGAGACTGTGAAAAGGCTGGAAACACAGCTTGGGTTCTCCTTCCCAGTTGTGATGCTGGCAATAAAAAGAAAAAGAGTCAGCATCTGGCTTCCTCTCAAACAAACCTGCTCAGCCCATCTTATCCAAGAAAAAGATGCCATCCCAAGGGGCCATTCAGGATATATGTCTCTTGGATGGTACTTAGGGTGTTTCATTCATCATTGTGTTTTATTGACACATACACAAAAAAGTCTCTTTTTTTGGCAGTCTCTCTTTTTTTGGCTAATTTTCCATGGACTCCCTCCTTTTTTTTGAAATGACACATTCTCAGAATCTTAAAATCTGTTCACAAACCTGGCAAAGCTAGGTTGCTCAGAAATATATTGTGGCCAGTCTTGGTTCATGGTGTGTACCTCATATTACCCACTGGCGGTAGCTCCGATGGAGAAACTCACTACTGTGCTAGAATGTCCCCAGACACTGTTTTGCCTCAATTGTCTCTACCTGACATGATGCTAAAGAGAAATAAAGACAAGAACAGAAAAAGCAGTCTGAGAAGAAAGCACGAACGTGGGACACAGGAGACAGAGGGCACCTACCTGGTCACGATCCCCTGCAAAGCAGCAACTTTTCATGGTGCAAGAGTTGAAGTAACCCTGATTGTCAAACTGGAACACAGGCAGGCGGGAATGGATGTCATAGAGCACAGGGGGCAGGCGACGCCTCAGGGCCAGGAGCTGGGTCCCGTTGCTGTTGAACCGCACACTCATGGCACTCTGGAGGGACAGGTTGCCACCATAGCGCAGGAGAGAACTGAAAGGCAGAAAGCATAGGGGTTGGCCATGAAGTAGGTGGGACAAGACTCTGCAAAATGTACCACATTTACTTCTTCCCAAAATATGTCCAGAATCTCCTGTCAGGCTTATACATCTGAATTTTGGCAGATGTATAAGAAAGGTTATTTCTATGCAGTGGGCTAGAAGGTAACAATGGGATAAAAATGGCTCCTTGATTTCATCAAACCAAGTTATTTAACCTGTCGTGTCCTCTTTTCAATCTCCAAAAGGTGAATTACCAATAAATTTACAGGAAATAAGTAACAAAGCATCATGAGAGAACAGACATATTAAAATGATTAGTTATGGGGCGCCTGGGTGGCGCAGTCGGTTAAGCGTCCGACTTCAGCCAGGTCACAATCTCGCGGTCTGTGAGTTTGATTTGCATGCGGTTGGGCCCTGGCTCGGGCTCTGGGCTGTAAACAAAACCGAGAGCCTGTTTCTGATTCTGTGCTCCCTCTCTCCTGCCCTCCCCGTTCATGCCTCTGTCTCTCTCTGTCCCAAAAAAAATAAATAAAAGTTGAAAAAAAAAAATTAAAAAAAAAAATAAATAAATAAAATGATTAGTTATTTCATTTGCCTGAGCTAACTACGTAATCAGATAGATGATACTCACCAAGTCCCTGCGAGGTGAGTCGTGTCCACTCTAACTGGCTAATCATGGATGACATTTAAGGGACATATTTATCCTTGTATTAGAAATACAGAGCACATCAGCAGAAAAATAGATACTTTACTATTTATGCTGGATATTTTTTCAATAAATAATAATCATTTTATTAAACAGTTATTTTGACTAAATACTAAACAAGTTTTTAAAAATTTATTTATTATTTAATTTACATCCAAGTTAGTTAGCATATAATGCAACAAAGTTTCAGGAGTAGATTCCTTAATGCCCCATACCCATTTAGCCCATCCCCCCTCCTACAACCCCTCCAGCAACCTTCTGTTTGTTCTTTATATTTAAGAGTCTCTAATGTTTTGTTCCCCTCCCTGTTTTTATGTTCTTTTTGCTTCCCTTCCCTTATGTTCATCTGTTTAATACTAAACCAATTTTTAATTTTTTTTAATGTTTATTTATTTTTGAGAGAGACAGAGACAGAACGCAAGTGGGTTACTGGCAGAGAGAGAGGGAGACACAGAATCTGAAGGAGGCTCCAGGCTCCGAGCTGTCAGCACAGAGCCCGAAGCGGGGCTTGATTTCACAAACTGCGAGTTCACGACCTGAGTGGAAATCAAGAGTCAGACACTTAACCAACTGACCCACCTAGGTGCCCCTAAACAAATTATTTATTTTTTTATTTTATTTTATTTTTTACTTTAGAGAGAGAGAGGAAGCATGAGCAGGGGAGGTGGGCAGAGGGAGAGAGAGAGAATCCTAAGCAGGCTCCATGTTCAGGGTGGAGCCCAATGTGGGGCTGGATCCCACAACCCTGGGATCATGACCCGAGCCAAAATCAAGTCGGACACTCAACCGACTGAGCCACCCAGTTGCCCTTAAACAAAAAATTTTAATTTAAATGCAGAGTAAGTAATATAACAATTAGAAAACCAAGATGACTTGTTTTCCATTGCAGTTCCCAACGAGTGTATATTTACTTTGATTAATACATTTATATAGCTTCACAATGGACAGTGATATGTTCTGGTTCACCTAATATCGTTCTGTAGTCTCATAGTATTCCTAACATTAAAAAAAAGTCACACAGTATGGTTCCAATTAATTTCTTTTGATGATTCAGAAGATACTTTCAATTTTACAGTGAACTAGGATGGCCATGAACATTAACAATTATGCAGTACTAAATAAAAAAGGGTGTGTATATGTGTGTGTGCTTTTATCTTTTCAGTAGTTAGTATCCTTGACTGGCTAGGCTATTTTATTATGAAGGGATGGACTGTTCACTGACCACATCATAACCAACGTTTCTTTTGTATTTTGGGTTCAATTCTTGGAGTACTGAATTACTGGTAGGAAAGTGAAGTTAAGTATATACATTGGGGGAGGTGCAGAAATTCATGTTAACATCAAACCTACTAACTTGTTTTGTCTCACACAGACTTTGTTGTCCTGGAAAGAAAATAATCCTAGTAGTTTTAGGGGGGAAAAGTTTATAAATTCTAGGGAATCACAGAGCTGGAAAAGGCCTCAAGAGGCCTAAATTAGAGCCTGGCAGATTTATCTGAAACATTTTTAGAGGAAAAAAAAAATGGCAGTTTACCAAGTGAAAACTTGAAGAGCTATATGCTACCAGAATAGATTTAATATTGAATGAAGAAAACACATTTTGTTTTTTCTTTGGCATGACAGTGATGGGGAAGATTAGGGGGACAGGAAAAGAGATACCCCATGGGAAAAGGAGCCCCTGAAACCACATGCAAAGATAGCTGCCAACCTGGCCTGATCACAAAAACCGTCTACACCAAATAGCGTCAGTAAGTCTTATGTCTCCCAAAAGCAGTGTTCTCACTAGAGGGAGGCGTGCTCTAGGTACAGAAACAAGGCCTGGGGCAAAATAGGCTTTAATCCTCTTATCACTGGAATGAAAGAAAAGAGAGAAAAGACTTAGGAAACAGTCCCTAGAACTCCAAACATCAAGGAGGAGCCTGGCACCCCTACGGGCCCCGGGCCCCAAGTAATAATCTCTGTAGACAAATGTGACAAATGTTCTTATAACGGTCCTAAACAGAGGCCACACTCACTCACATATAGAGAATGAATGATGGGGCTGTTAGAGTCCAGGCATTTCCTTTACAGGGTGCCCTAGCTGCCACAGGCATGTGGTGTTATCTAAACACTGAGCTCAAAAACAATGAGAGGCTTTCAATCCAAGATCAGCATGGAGTGTACAAATAAACCACCGTCTGTAGAACTGAAGAGGAACGGGGGCGTGGAAACAAGACTCAACAAAAAGAAACTTGGCCAGCCCCACCAGCAACAGCAGCAGAGGTTTGCATCAGCTCAGGCATCCATGACAGGAAAGCTGGGGCCACCAAGCAAACGCCCTTTCCATCAGTTAACAGGAACTTCCTCTGCTGATTCTAGTCAGACCTGCAGAAGTCTGCCCAGGACAGGCATCGGGCCCATCCCAGCCCCACCCAAGCTCCTTGACCTACATGTGCAATCTAGCCACTCTAGGGGTTCTGTTTGTGGGTTCCAGGAGGGTCACTAATTTCTCCTGCCTATGCTTCTGGGCAGGGAACTCCTATCTCTCACACAGAGGGCAGGTAAGTAGGAATCTTGCTCCTAGAGTGTTTGGGGGTACTAAAGAGCAGCTGCTGAAACTGAATACTTCATGTTTGGGCATAAAATTAAATTCCTTCCAGAGGATGGAATGATACCTGAAATCTAGAAAGTGAGCTATGTTCACTATACTTTCTCAGCAGGGGTACTACAGCTGGTTCCTCCTGAACAGTATGCATGATCTAGTTCATTAGGAAGAAAAACCTTAGAAGCAGTTTGCCCGCACAGTCGAGATAAAAAGATAATGTCAAAGATGCTCTAGTTTACAGTTTCAAGCGTAATATGCATGAGAAATCATCTGGGACTTTTTAAAAAATGTGGATTCTCAGGATCCACCCCCAGATATTCTAATTCAATCTGGGAAGTGGGCCCAGGAATCTGAATTTAACAACCCCAATTAATTCTGATGCGTGTGACTTTAAAACCACCCTTTTGAGAAACATGGCTCCATTTTGGAATTTGGGGGGAGAGGAATCAGGAAGAGAAGGGAGAGTGAGGTCAATGGGAAAACAATGTGGAAAGAAAGTGGATTATCAGAGGTTCAACAAAAAGGGAACCATACAATATGGCACTTTTTATAGCCCCTGGTCTATTAGCAGAAAGGACTCTATTTCCTTTTAAAATTCAGAGTTCCCCTCTAACAACAATGCCTAAAATGCCTTTCTCCTGTCATCAATACATTCCCCAAAGGAGAAGTTTCTCATTTCCTCTTGGAGAACTGAGGGAGGAAAGCCTCAATCTTGACTTGCTTTCTGAACTCTGATCTTGGTAACGGAGATGCCAACTGTCTCCACTCCTCAGAGAAATGGCCACCATTTCGTACCAAACAAGATGAGCAGTATCTTTTTTTTTTTTTAATGTTTACTTATTTTTGAGAGAGAGGGAGACAAAGTGTGAGTAGTAGAGGAGCAGAGAGAGAGGGAGACACAGAATCTGAAGCAGGCTCCAGGCTCTGAGCTGTCAGCACAGAGCCCACTACAGGGCTCAAACTCACAAACCGTGAGATCATAACCTGAGCCAAAGTCAAACACTTAACCGACTGAGCCATCCAGGCACCCCAAGATGAGCAGTATCTTGCAAGGACTAGCAACAAGTTAAAATGAGTTCAACTATAATATCCCTATTTAGAAAAATAAAAGCAATAAATCTATTCCCAACCTATCTTCAACCAAGGATTTGTCATAAAATACAACAAGAATGGGGTAGGAGGTAATCCAAGGGTCAGCATGTAAAAGATCCAGGACAAAAAGCAAGAGAACTTTGAACAACAGGAAAATATTTCTCACTAGTGTGGTCTCCTGGATTCCCCACCCTGCCCCCTGCCCCCCCCCCATATTGAAATGGACTTCTTTATTGCTCTGGCAGGGTAAAAAGAACATTTTTAAAAAGTACTTGGCTAAGGCTAAGGTCTTGGAATAGAAGAGAAACAAGCTAAGGCTGTTTCCAAGGAAAGTGACTAGGAGTGTCATGTTCAACACAAGACAGGGCATTGATAAAGTTTCCAAGATTAGACTTCATGAACCTAGGTTTCCATAAATCCACAACAAAGTAAATTCATCTCATGGTACCAACATTATTTTCCAAAGCCAACTGGCATGAGTTTCTAAGTGAAAGTTTCAATTAACACCCATGAAATGCACTATTATTCCAAATCACAGACATCAGAGCTGGTACTGGACAACCAGAGTGGCTAAATCAAGGTCCTTTGGTGGGAGGAAATCTCTCCCTCC